ACAATTCAAACAGGTTTTAGAAATCCCCATCACATTTTTGATCAAAACTTTCGAGATTATAACGAAAGAGTAGAAATAAATTTTGAGTCCATAAAAGATCTAATTGACGAGGAAAAAAAAGCAAGACTGGCTAAATTCGCTAATCCATCATTCACCCCGTATAAAATTGGAGAAAAAGTTCTTTTACGAAATTTCGAAAATAAAAAACCATCATTTTTGGGACCATTTGAGATTATTTCTGCTTCAAAAGAAGGAACATGGTACACTGTAAAATCAGACAAACAGTTATTTAGGCGTCACGCTGATGACCTTAAGAAATTTCATTCTCGATTAGATAACCCTAGAATAAATCAAGCCCCGGAACCGGAAATTCCTGAAATTGAAAAAATTTTGCCAGATCCCATTTTTTACGATCAGCCCCCAACCTTTTCTTATTTTTCTGCATCATCGCCCCTGGAAACCGATTCATTTGAAGTCAAAAAAGACATGGCCCTTGATAAACTTTCATCGGCTTGTGTCGATGGGATTTTCGAAAATATTTTTACTCAATTTATAGTCGATGCGCTTTCAGAAAATTTAGAGGAGAGCGCTTCATCCTCAGAAGATGAGAGTTCTATTATTTCTGTTATCGAAAACGAGGGCGAATTTGAGATTTTGGAACGAGAACAAATTAATAATTTAAGCGGTATATTGCCAAATCCAGTTAGGCAACTAGAATTTTCTACCGATTCAGAGTTCGAAATCGAAACAAACAGTGAGTTATGGGAAATAACCATCGATTCGGACCCTGAAACGGTAGAAAAAAGTCCTAAATTACTATCTTATGATAAACTACAATTGACGCAAAATGATCGGCTTGTCACTCCAAAAGACTCTGATATTGACCCAATAAGAAAACTTACATATAAAGCCAAAAGAGAGCGGGAATCTTCAAAAGACTCTGCCCCAAGCCCAAAAAAAGCAAATACAAATTTTGAAGCAAATTTTTTTGAAATTGAAAACATGTCGATAGTTATAAAATTGGAAAATGAAAATATGGGATTTTTTGAAAAACTGGATCGGGAATATGAGGCCTTTGCTGCAGACATGATGGTCGAAAATGGTTGTATTTTAAGGCTGAGTGAGCTTGCGAAAGATAATCTTATGTTTATTTTATGGAAATTTGAAATTGAATTTTCGGAAACAGAAAATGTAGGAGAGTTAAGATTAAAAATTCGAGACTATATTCAATCAAATCATCCAAATTGGCGAAAAACAAATTCAGGAGACCTTCTCTTTTTTTCAATCTTGCATTTGAGAGAACGGAAGCGTCTCTCTGAATTAAACAAACCCGAGTTAAAAGTTTTGATAGCTCAATTTAATCTGTCTGAAAAATGTATTCCTTCAAAACTGTCAAAAAATGAATTATTACGATTTATTGATGAAAAATTTCTTCTTCTTTTCCCAAATCATCCACGAGAAAATGATGAGCTTATTTTTGAACCAAAAACAAATATTCAATAGTTCTTGAATAATCGATAAAAACAGAAGATCAAAACAAAAAAAATATAAAAAACAAAGAATCAAAAAAAAAATCCCTGGCGGGGCCATACTAATATCGATCAATGCAAGAACAGAAAAAATAAAAATTGAATATTCCTTTCACGGCCGACTTTCGTCAATTTGGATTGATTTTTGTAGGAATTCACAGATTAATTGCTGCTGTTTATTTTGCCTTGAACCCTTAACTAAGTGGGTAATTGATGAAAATTAATTTAAGTTAATTCTAGTTAATTAAGGGTTCAGGGATTAATTTTCAGTAGTGGTTCGGGAGTTTAGGTTTCTTTGGCGCTACGGTGCTTTCACAATTTCAATTGCATGAAAAAGGATGATAGTTAAAACGCATTAAAATCACAATATCGATTTCTTTTATCTTTAGAAAAATTACTCTTCCTTGATTTCAGTTTTATTTTAAAATTACTGGTAATTATTTACTGCAACGATTCTCGCTGGAATTCTTCTTGATGGCAATTGCTGTATGTTCTCATCCACTAGCTGAGTTCCGCATTGCGGCTTGACACTGTGACCCCGTGCACCTCGGGATGGCGGTGTCTGTAAGTGCTCCTGGTAGGCGACGGTTTTATGAATCCTTTTTCGGCTCGAATTTAGATCGACTGGTCATCCTTCTTCTTTAACGACGAAAATGCACTTTCTTCAACCTCGACGGCAACTGCTTCAACGACAAAAACGACAAAACCGACAAATACAAGATGGAAATGGACAAACGCTCTGGACAGACGACGATTATGGAACTTGACTGGCTTGCGAATCTTTATCAAAGTGTGATATGGTCACATAGTGAGAAGTTGATCACTTTGATAAAATTGGAATGGAATTGCTGCTAATTATGAAAAATCGGATGAACTTGAATGGCGGAAGCGAAAGCGGCTTGCCATATTTGGAAAGAAAAACAACTGCGCGAAAGGCGCTTCACCATATTTGGAAGTAAAAACATCTGCGCGAAAAGCGAAATTTGAAACTTTGTAAAATCGAAAATCAGTCTCTTTCTTCAACCAAATAATATAGCAGTATTCCGAATTTTCTAGTGTTTTCTTTCGCAAGTGGCAGTTAGCTTAGAGATAAGGACCAGACGGTATCAATAACGTTGACCATCGAAAAATATTTTTTTTTGAATTTTTTCTGTTAGGTTTAAGAGGCTCAAAATCAACCAAAATGACGCTCGGAAGACGGCAGAAACGCTGCAAATAAAATAAGGGCAAAAAACGAACTTTCAAAATTTTGACCTCGTTTTTGGGCGATTCATGATAACGATGACCATCGAAAAAATATTTTTTGAATTTTTTTCTGTTGGAATTGAGAGGCTCAAAACCAACCAAAATGACGCTCGGAAGACGGCAGAAACGCTGCAAATAAATTCAGGGCAAAAACGAACTTTCAAAATTTTGACCTCGTTTTTGGGCGATTCATGATAACGTTGACCATCGAAAAATATTTTTTTTGAATTTTTTCTGTTGGGTTTGAGAGGCTCAAAATCAACCAAAATGACGCCTGGAAGACGGCAGAAACGCTGCAAATAAAATAAGGGCAAAAAACGAACTTTCAAAATTTTGACCTCGTTTTTGGGCGATTCATGATAACGATGACCATCGAAAAAAAAAATTTTTTTTTAATTTTTTTTCTGTTGGGTTTGAAAGGCTAAAAATCAACCAAAATGACGCCTGGAAGACGGCAGAAACGTTGCAAATAAATTTAGGGCAAATAACGAACTTTCAAAATTTTGACCTCGTTTTTGGGCGATTCATGATAACGATGACCATCGAAAAAAAATTTTTTTTTTTTTAATTTTTTTTCTGTTGGGTTTGAGAGGCTCAGAATCAACCAAAATGACGCTTGGAAGACGGCAGAAACGCTGCAAATTAAATTAGGGCAAAAAATGAACTTTTTAATTTTGACCTCGTTTTTGGGCGATTCATGAGAACGATGACCATCGAAAAAAAAAATTTTTTTTTTGAATTTTTTTTCTGTTGGGTTTGAGAGGCTCAGAATAAACCAAAATGACGCTCGGAAGACGGCAGAAACGCTGCAAATAAATTCAGGGCAAAAAACGAACTTTCAAAATTTTGACCTCGTTTTTGGGCGATTCATGATAACGTTGACCATTAGCGTCTGCCCATGGTTTCCATTTTCGAGCCGAGGGGGCTTGTATGTTATTGTAGGATTACTTAGGCCCTATATACTTGGTATCCGAAGTTTGGTCGAGTTTCGTCAAGTGGAACGTGATTTATGGCCAAAAATGTGATTTTTCGGCAGGTTTTTGTTAAAATGAGTCATATCTTTTGATGAGTCATGATGACGTTATCATTATTCATCCAAAAATGTTGCTCAGTGTCTGATCTTTCGATCAAGTATAAACATGACCTATATACTCAAGAATTTTTGGGTCAACGGCGCCCTCAAAGTCGTAGAACATGAAATTTTTAGAAAAAATTGCTCAGTTTTTTGAAAATTTTGTTAAGCGAAACGTCGGCAGAGCACGTGATATGCATATATTCTTGTAGCTCATGATCTGAGCTATCGATTGACCACTCATATGAGGATTGTTATATGGGTGCATGAAATTCTAGAGCCAGTTGAATGAAATTCGAAAAAATTGAAATTTTAGAAAAATTGATTTTAAAGTATTTCTTGGTCCGAGACATCACTAGAAGCAATAAAAATAGCATTTTATTTGATATCCAAAGGTCACGAGTTTGAATTCTGACCATGACATTTTTTTTTGTCTTTCTATTATTATTTTTTTTTCAATAAAAGGTTGAGTTAAGGGTCAAGGGTAGTGTTAGGCTTAGTGCTAGGGTAAGGGCTCGGGTAAGGGTTAAGGTTAGGCTGAGTGTTAGGGTTAGGGTTAGGGTTAGGGTTAGGGTTAGGATGAGTCTTTGGGTAAGGGTTAGGGTGAGTCTTGTGGTTAGGGTTAGGATGAGTAATTGGGTTATGGTTTGGTTGAGTGTTTGGGTAGGGTGAGTGTTTAGGGTATAGGTTAGGGTTAGGATTTGGGCTAGGGTGTGTTTTTGACGAAAGGTTAGGGTCAAGATAAGGGTTAGGGTTTGGGTTAGACGATAAATTCAGACTGAAATTCGAAAACAGCTAGCCTTGTATTATGTCCATGGGCGAGGCGCGGGTTCGAAATCTGCCGTCAAAATTACACTAGAACGCAGGCGCTCGGAGATAGCGCGAGACTCAAGTTTTGACTTGAAAACTTAAATGAGGAGTTACAGCATGTGTATCTTTATCAATCGGAAGGCCTTGGCCTGTTGATTTCGAATCTATCATTGAAACTCGCTCATCCCTTTTTTCGGCTCGAAATCTGCTTAAGCCTTACTTTGCCATCGACGCCATCACTTTCGCCGAGCGGGATGATTACTTATAGGCTCGTTGCTGCGATTTTAACTAAGAGGAACCTGCAAAAGACAATGATGACAACGGATGAGAGTCAAAAAAACATTTTATTCTGAGAACATGACAGCGTGAACAGTTTCAAAGATCGACTTTGCGTGAGGCCTTCGACCTCGCTTGAGCTCGTCGATCGCTGTCGCTGCTTCTGCCTTCTTCTGCTCGCTCATGTTGAGTTGCATGGCATCACTGAAGGCCATGTAGACCTCACCGTACTCGAGGTCTTCGAGACCAAGCTCTTGCTTCATCTTGGTGAAGGCCGTTTTGAACTAGAAAAAATTTATGAAGAGAGATAACAAAAATATTCTACCTGTCCAGTGGAGGTCGGCCACAGTTTTCCCTCGCTCACGATGGCAACAAGTGTTTCGTGGCGCTTGGCTGCTTCATCCGCTGCTTTGATCGCGTCGATCTGGAGCATGACCTTTTCTTCTTCCTTTGCTTTCATCAGATCGCTTCGTCTTTTAGCCACCTTATGGAGATTCTTCAGGCTCTGACGAAGCACAGTATCTCACATGCCTTACTGAACAACAAACGTGACTCCGGGTCGGGTACGCCCCGTACCTGACTGAATTGAATAGAGCGTGCGTGCCTCCTCTTTGGGTCGGCTTGGCCCCGTACCTGACTGAATTGAATAGAGCGTGCGTGCCTCCCTTTCGTGTCGGCTTGGCCCCGTACCTGACTGAATTGAATAGAGCTTGCCTGTTCCCCTTCGGGTTGGCTTGGCCCCGTACCTGACTGAATTGAATAGAGCGTGCGCGCCTCCCCTTCGGGTCGGCTTGGCCCCGTACCTGACTGAATTGAATAGAGCGTGCGCGCCTCCCCTTCGCGTCGGCTTGGCCCCGTACCTGACTGAATTGAATAGTGTGTGTTCCTCCTCTTTGAGTCGGCTTGGCCCCGTGTCTGACTGAATTTAACTGAATTTTTGACCTCATGTTTATCAAATATCAACGATCTTTTGATAAAATAAATCAAAGAAGAACGATTCTAGTGCTGTTATGTGAATAACGGATATTTTTTAGAAGAAAAAAAAATTTGCGACGATGGGACTCGAACCCGCGACCTTCTGATTTGAAGAAAAAAAGGTTAACAATCATAAAAGAGTGATTCAAGAAATAAATATTGAATATTTGATATATTTTAGACGAAAAAAAAATTTGTCGCGGTGGGATTCGAACCCGCGACCTTCAGATTTGAAAAACAAATAGGTTATAACATTGTGTGACTCATTTGTTTTTCTATTAATAATCAAAAAAGCAGGTTTTTATTGATTTATTCCATATTCTACGACTTTGTATGGCTCTAGAATTTTTTCCACATATTTATATCATCCCAATTTGTTCTTAAATTGTAGCGCAGATTTTGTTCTTCAAGTTGAGCAGCCAATCACGTGATCACGTGACGTTTTTCTTAGCAATTTTTTCAAAAAACTAAAAAAAGTCAAAAAATCGAAAATTTCAATTTTCAATCGGCTCTAGAATTCCATGCACCCATACAACTCGGGCTCAAATTTTTTGTTGATACTATTGGGGCCCTAAAGAACATATTCTGAAAATATCTCGTGCTCTGCCCACGTTTTGGAAATTATGGGCCGACGCTATTCTCGAGTCCAAATTTTTCACCCTATCAAATTGGGGAAAATGTTCTTATTCGAAATTTTTCTGGGAAAAAGCCCTCATTTTTGGGCCCATTTGAAGTAATTTCTACGTCTAAAAAAGGAACGTGGTACACGGTTCAATCAGGGAAACAAAAATTCAGGCGTCACGCGGACGATCTTAAAAAGTTTTATAGTCGTGATGAATCAAACGAGCCTAGATTGGACCGAGCCTCGGGCCAAAATTTTGAAATCGAACAAGTCCATAATGACTATGAAACTAATTATTTTGACAGCTCTTTTTCATCATTTTGTTCTCCTACAAATTTATGTTTTGCAAAAGAAAAAAGTGAGAATTCTGAATTTTTAAAGAAAAAGGAGGAAAAAATCGATGAAATTGCATCGATGATGTCTAAAAATATTTTTGAATCAATTTTTACGGAATATATTCTTGAAACATTAGAAAATCTACCAGACGAGGTTTCGTCTGATGACGACAGCTCGGTTATATCTGTAATTGAAAATGATGGCGAATTTCTAGTAATTGAGGAAACTCAAATCGATAGGCAGGAAATATCGAAACATTCAGAGGCTCTTGCTAGAACAAGAAGACAAATTGATTTTTCGACAGATTCAGAGTCAGAATTTGAATTTGATGAGAAACTGTGGGACATAACGATGGATTCTGAAACTGAAACTGTTGAAAATCACGACCCCCATTTAACTTCGTATGATAAATTAGAATTATCAAAAGATATAAACTGTGGTAAACGTGAGCGTGAATCTTCTAAGGACTCTATTCCTGACCCAAAAAAACCAAACTTGAATTTTGAAAGTGACTTTCTCGATCACAAAAATATAACAATCGAAGTAAAATTTGAACATGAGCATATTGAATTTTTCGAAAAACTTGATCGACAATACGAGGTTCTTTCGGCAAACATGATGATTGAAAATGGTTGTATTCTTAAGCTTGGCGAGCTTGCGAAGGAAACATTAATCTATATTCTTTTAAAATTCGGCGTAGAAATCTCGGGAAAAGAAAATGTTAGTGAACTTAGGATAAAAGTAAGGGAAGTCATTAAAGCAAATCATCCAAGTTGGCGAAAAAGTAATTCTGGAGAGTTTTTGTTCTTTTCAGTTCTTAACTTGATACGGAAGCGGCTGTCCTGCAGGAATTTTGCTCTCTAATCTCTTACTCTAGAATGCCAAGCGAAAATAACGAGAATCAAATTTGAAATTTGCGTGGTTTTATTTGTGATTTGAATGCCGGAAAAAGGCGCGACGCGGGGTTAAATAGCAGCGAGATTCAATCAGTGTTTTTGAACAAGCGGTTGTTTTTGAAAAACAATTTTGCTTTTGAAAACAAGGAAGAGAGCCCGTGGCTTTCTCTGACGGTTTTTCTAGCGGGAAATCCTTTCGGATCGATTTCTTTTCGGATGATAAGCTGGTCGAACTTGCCAAGCAAGTTATTTTCAAAGGATTCTGGAGCCGGCGCCGCGCGTGACGAGATAAAACGCAAATTAATTTTTTTCATAATAAAAAGCAGAAAATAATAACAGCCACTTAAACTTCTCACTATGTGACCGTAGAAGTGACTGTTAATTAAGATTGAAATATATAAAAAAAGGATGAGAAAAGTAAAAGAATATGTACAAAATTTTAACAAATAAATTGAATAAAATTTGGTCAGGATTTTATAAAATAAATTTATCAAAATTGAAATCATAGAAGAAGCAAATTCCAAGGAACATACCCGGGGGAAGTTACTGTCGCGGTTCGCACCGTATCTTCTCTTACGGATGAGCTAGTTTGCGACAAGCGGACGCACTGACAGAGAGTTTGTCCGACCCCACGGCACCGAGATGATACGACGGTTTATCGGCTCGTTGGAGTAGTTGTTGTTGAAGAAGGTGTTGACGGCTATCTTGTTGTAGAAGTTGAATCGTATGAACTGTCAATAATCGAACTTTTAAAATCGCAAAGCAATGATAAGAAATATTAATAAATAGATTAAACATGCGGTTTTGCGAATTGCATATTTTTGATGAATGGACGTCAGATCGCATTATGATGAGAGCATATGAGCATTCCAATGATAAAAGTAGAAATCGTAAAGAGATGACATGATGATAACACAATTTTGGGTCAATCTGGCTCGTAAAAACTGACCATCTTTTCATTTTGAGAAGAATATCGTGAAATGATTTTCGGAAAAATGTCGGATCAATTTGGTAATACCAAGTTGACAAGACAAATTTAAACCAACGTAGAACCGAATTGACGTAAATATTTGGCCGTGAAATAATTTTTTTGTATTGCTTGAGGCGTTGTTCCCTAAGGATATCACTGTGACCTTCCATGGGTCGCAAACGAGCATCTTTTTCGCCTTTCTTTTTCATATTTCAGTTTCAAAGTCAGGAAGAAAAACAAGAACATTTTTACGCATCGGATGATTTGGAAATTTTTTCAGCAATTCTGTTTCGATAGATGCCTGTAAGATTGTCTTGGAGCAGTTTTTAAACTTACAGGGTAAATCATAAAAAGCGCAAACAGTCTTTAGCTCGGGGACAGTTAGTTCGTACAACGTTCGCTCTTTTTGCACTCTAAAGACCGCAAAAAAAAGAAGTTGTCCGTTTCTCGATTTACGCCAATTCGGATATTCTCTACGAATAGTTTCCTTCACTTTTATCTGAAGTTTCGCCCTTGATTCCTCAAGATCAAAGTCCTGATTCATTTTAAAAAGAATAAATAAAAGTGAGTCTCTTGTTAATTCGTTTAGTTTGATAAATATACCATTTTCAACATAAGTCTCCTCTATGTCGTCTGTATTTTTCCATTTATCATTAAGATGTTCAAAAAAGTCAAGATCATGATTTTCCATTTTAATTAAAATTGACATGTTTTCCAAATTATTTTCCACTGTAAATTTAGCAATTTTACGCTCGACAACGGAATCATCAGATCTTTCCCTTCTTCGTTTTAGAGCAACTAGCGGATCAATTTCGGGCAATTTATCATACGATGTCAAATTAACAGAAAGCTCAGAATCAGAACTTGATTTCTCGGAATCAAGCACAATATCTGATCCATTTCCTGCTTGATTCAAATCAGGTTCTTGATTACGATAAATTTTCGGTAATGGCATTTCTATCAAAAGAGTCGAAGAGGATGAAACATTTTCTGGTTCTAGAGAAGAACTTGACCGCTCCCGATAAGGTTCCGATTGTAATGACTGATCTGACATTTCAGAGGATAAAGGTTCATGCGCTTTTTCCGATTCTTTTTCTGTAGAGAAATCTTCATCAAACCGACCGAGGGAATCCCTCGAAAAAAGACAGTTTTCAGAGAAAATTTCAAAAAGCTCGAGATCATTTTCTTGTGGTTTTGTCACAGTCTTCGGGTATTTTACAACATCATTATTCGTCTCTAAAATTGAATTTCGCTCAGAATAGCTTTTTATATGCTCTGCATGTCGCCTAAATTCGTCCTTATCCTTTTTAACAGTGTACCATAGACCACTCGGGGATTTAAACGTTACTTCATAGGGACCCAAAAAGGGAGGGAATTTTTCGCGGAAATTTTTTATAAGAACTTTATCGCCTAAATCATATTCTTTGAAACGGGGATTATCAAATTTGATCATTCTTTTTTGCTTTTCTTGTTCAATTTTCGCACGAATTTTCTCAAAGTCAACGTCGATTTTATCTCCGTATGTTCGCCAATAAGGGTCTTGAAAATGATGACTGATTTTTACACCAGTTTCTACACAAAATGGGGTTGTTCCGAGCACTGTATGTAAACTACTGTTTATTTCATGAACAATTTCAAACAGAAAAATATCCCAATTCACC